TAGGAGCCTCCTAGCCGACATTCCATTGTGGGGGAAGTCTTCATCTCCGGTGTCCATACATTGTGATTCTCAAGCGGCCATTGGAGTTGCCAATAACAACAACTACAACGACAAAAAGAGACATATGCGTATGAGACACAAAGTTGTGAGGCAATTTCTAAAAACTGGAGTCATTGCATTGGACTATGTAAGGTCCGAAAAGAACTTGGCGGATCCTTTGACGAAAGGGTTAGTAGGAAAACAAGTTGAAGAATCATCGAGGGGAATAGGACTTAAGGCCATGTGATGCATTACCTTGTCCCAGTTCCTATGGTGATGGTGTTTGTAATTCATGTTGGTTTGTGAGGTTGAGTTATTTAAACTCTTAATAGGTCCTTGTACAATTAAGACGCACGGTTAAAGGACTCACCTATGTGGTTGTGAAGACTAGCCATCTTCTTTGAAAACTTGGCCGGTTTTCTAGAGCCTCCACTAGAACTAAGGTGAATATGCTTGGCTATAAAAGAGCATATCTCTTCGCGGAGTCTATGCAAATTTTGGAGTGATGTATGTGTTGTGAGGTTTTTGAGTTAGTCTTGGAGTTTCAAGGTTAATCCACTCCATGATTAAGAGTCTAAGGGTTTCAAGGTTTTATTCACCCTTGTACTTGTAGCTCATTGTCTCATTTCACTAAGCACTAAGATTTCAAATTACGTATGTAATATCTAAGTGTTATGTATTAAACTCCTCTTATGCCCAATATGTTGTTCATTCTCTTCTTTGTTGATTTTTTCTTCCTTCCTTTAGCGGGGGATTGTTGGAATAAAGGAAGGAATCCAAAATAGCCTAACCCAGGCGCCCGACCGGGCAAAGTTCCGCCCGACCTGGCACGAGAAGGGTCATAATTCCTGAGTTCTGTCGCCCGACCGAGCGCGAGAAGAGCTTGGAAAATGAAGGGATGTTCGCCCGACCGGGCGCGAGAGTAGCCTATCTTTTGGCTGGATGCTCGCCCGACTGGGCGCGAGTGCGGCTGTTGGGTTGCTTAGCTTCCTTGGATTCTTTTCTTCTTCAATCTCTTGTAACCCCTCACTTAAGAGGTGTTTTATGATGATTAAAACACATGTTTTTCTTCTGTTTTTTCCCACCTTTTCACTTCCCTTGATCTTTCATCTTCCCTCTATTGTTTTATATATTTCATGGTCAGTTTTTCTAGAAGATATACATATGAAAAATACTCTTGAAGATACACATCAAGCTAAACACATTTTCCTCCTTTGGGCATAAGTTTGCGTAGGCTCCACCTCTCATTCTAAAGTGCCTTAGCGTGAGAGTGGTGTGTAACCTTAGGGAACGATCCGGTGAATACAATTGAGCACCCCGGTTGCGCCGGAATTCGTTTTCAAAGGCAGTGATTATTCACGCCACACCGAATTTCCTTCTCTTGTTTTATTGTTGCTCTTGTTTTAGACACCTATTTTACAACATTGACATTACCCTTCATGGAGCAGGTTCTTTGGTCGTTTAATTAATTTTCCACTACCACCTCCTTTTACCACCCACCACCACCTCCTCATAGATCTACCCGATTTTCGCGCGGAAAAGCTGAGGAGAGATAAAGGGAAGGCTGTCGTCAACGGCGTCGCCGGAGGCAAGATTTTTTTTTTTTTTTTTAATTTTCCGGTATGGGCTAAAATGCCCTTTTTCGGTAAACCAAGGCGGAAACGCCTAGATATTTCGAACCACCACTGGACGTTCAAAATTTCTCGGCGTTTAGGGTGAAACTCCCAAAAATTTCAAACGTCCAGCGGTGGTTCGAAATATCTATGCGTTTTTGCCATGGTGTTTCTAAAAAATGGGCGTTTGAATTTGTTTTGATTCATAATTGCGTAATGATCCTGTGATACAATACGAAATGAATTTGTAAAAAAAAGCACAACATCTTACTATCCACATTCAAAGAATCACTCTAAACAAGCATTTTGTATACGTTCCCTTACTGGAAATTTTGCACATCCCTCATTTTTATTATTATAGTTGTTCTTAGTTTTGTTGCTATAGTTGTTGCTATTGAGGAAGAAGTGCTGGACATTAGGGCCCACCCCAAGCTTGCTTCCCTACCTTATAAAAAGTAGATGATAACTCTTAAGAATAGTGTGCTACCAACTATCCCTACCGTATAAAAAGTAGAAGATAACTCTTAGGAATAGTGTGCTACCAATTATACCCTTAAAATTATGTACAAAAAATGTGTATTTACTTTTTTACCCTCATTAAAATGTTTACTCTCATTAATGTATTTAATGTTTTTCTTATCATTAAACATATCATCAATTAATTCAAAGTTTTTTATTTTAACAAAAAACTTGTAATGCTTTTTTTTTTTTTTAATAAAAAAAATTCTAATGCTTTATACTTCATTTGTTATTATTATTATTTAAAAAGAAAAGAAAAATTGTATGTACGAAGAGACGGCTTATTACCAAGAGACTATTTATTTTTACTCTTTCGTGGTTGCTCTTTTTATTTACAATCTTGTCGTCCTTTAATTGCAACTATTGTTAAGGCTTATTAGCTTTTGAAATGTACATTGTTTGATGGCACATAAACAACATTATGAAATTTGAATGGGATTCATATTAAATAGTGATATTTGAGCAGATGTTACCATGAGGTATAAAGAACTTAAAAATCCAATACTCAAGGGAATCGATGATTAAAAAAAAATGTTATTAATTATAGAGAAAATTTAAGAGGAAAAATATAACTTAGTAGTGGTTATTGCTTTAGTATTAAATATAGATATAGATATTAGATGGTCGTAGAACATTAAAGAACTTACATTATTAAGTTTTTAGCTTCAACGAACATTTCACATATTATTACTCCTTATGACCAAAGCTCACAAAAAAAATCATTTGAAGAAAAACACATTAGGTATTATTGAAACATGCAAATCAATTAAAAGTTATAAACTAACAATTGCCGCTTAACTTGTGGAGGGATGCAAATCAATTAAATATTATTTAATAATAATTTTGAAATAATACTATCAAACTTTTGAGGATTTTAAAAAAATAATTGTCATAAAGGATTTTGGTGGCTTTCTTATACTTCTACAAAGCCACCATATAGGCACATAAACCAAATAGTACGTATTAAAACTACCAGGTCTACCACCCAAACCAAAGGTGTAAATACACGCCAATACAACTTCTCTGCAAGAGCTAGCCCTATGCACTCATCGCTCGCGTAGGCTACCCTAGTAAAAAATAAACATTATAATCATTGGGAACGAAGTAATCTTTTACTTTTCCCACTAAATAAAAGATTAATTGTTGTTTAATTATTATTAGTGTTTTTTTTTTTGAAGGCTAATTATTATTAGTGTTGTTATTATTATAATTGTTATTGTTACTTATTATTATTATAGTTGATCTTGTGGACGGTATAAGTGGTAAGTTGAGGTAAACTAATTTTTATAACAAGGGTAAGAACGTAATTTCAGATTATAAATGCGGGCGTTAGTCGGAAATTCGAGGGCGACGTTTAGCGTTTTAGTTTAATAATAAGTTTGACTAAAATTTGATTTTTTTTTTATATATGATAATATCATATGATTTTGAAAACCAACAGATAAAAACTATAGCGATACCAAATGAAACAGCTAATTGAGGACTTGTTTACCATCGTTTTTTGTTTTCAGTTTTTTGATTTTTTACAAAAATAAAAAACCAAAACAAGAAACATCAAAAAGGTATTTCCATTTTTCAATAATTAGTTTTCAAAATCATCATGATTTTAACAAGGTTGACCAATTTTAGATTCATTATATGAAATATATCATATGATTTTGAAAAAAAAAAAACATATTGATACCAAACGAACTTCAAATGGTGAATTAGAGGAGGTATACTACTATATATGCACAAAAATGGTTACCGTTTGATTGGTTTTATAATAATAGTTAAAATAATTACCAATCTTTTATATAATTGCAAAGTGATTTAACCACAATCCTTAAAAATGCCAATTCTCAAATCTCATGTATTTAAGAGTTTTTTTTTTTTTTTTTTTTTTTTTTTTTTTTTTTTTTTTTTTTGGTGCTATAACCTCCAATTAAATAACTTCCACTTCTCCATTTTTTTTTCCTAATAACTTCCATATCTTATATAACGTGCGTTAGCACGGATACACTCTAGTAATGATAATAATCTCTACGGAGGTCAGTTTTATATAAGCCAAGAAGAGAGGTTGTGATGTCCTCTTAAAATACTTTAATACCCCTCTTGTTTTTTTTTTTTTTTTTTTTTTTTTGTACGAATACCCCTCTTGGTTAATACTAAAAAGGTTATAAAAATAATTCTACATTATTCATTCATTAATCACGAATCAATTATGCCTTTATTTGGTTCAATCAATTCTAATTTTCAATTCATTGACCTCATAAAATTATGTCATGAATTACTTCAAAATCTTCAATCAATCCTAGTAATTTCATCAAACCCACGATCAATGCATTTAACAAATCAATCAACTCATAAAATCAAAATCATAATTTCCCTATTATAGTAAAATTATTCCCTCCATTAATCATATAAAATTATAATATTTTCATTTATTACTAATATCAGTATTGATATTCATATATTCACGCATGTTGCAACTAAAAGCTAGTAATAATAATTTGATGGTGTTACTCTGTGCTAGGTTCAACCTAATATTTAGTAATTTGAATTATTTTTATTGAAATTAAATTATTATTCATTTTCTAAATAAAAAATAAAATTATTTTTGTCAAACTAAATTATACTACATGCTCGTAAATATTAAGTCCTCTATAACTATGCAAATTAAAACTTATTTTTATTGAAATCAGCTGTAAATTATACAAAATTTAACTAAATTTTGCTTCTTTTTTTTTTTGGCTAAAATTAATTTATTTTTACTACAGAATTTTGAAATTATATTTTAGTGTCCAGTTATTTTTGGGTTAAAAATAGTTAACATATCCAAATAATCCATTTACCACTATCCGGAGTTATACTCAACTCAAGGGGTAGCATCTTTATACTCAGACAGAAGCGATCCTGCTTCCTCCTTAACAAATCCCAAATTCTCAAAATTTCTGCTCTTAATTTTTTCAATCAATTGATTTTCCCTACCTTTAGTCTTTCTTCATTTCATTCAACTATTACAAATTCAAGCTGATCAATTGTAGATGATGAAGGAGAAACCCCCAATTTAAGGTTGCATCAATGCGCATCAATTTAGACCTTAATTGCTGATTCTAACCCTAGCAAAAAATTAAGGTAATTATCCTCCAATCTATTTTATTTTAAAGATTATACTTTTAATTGTCTAATGTTTAATTGTGATTACCTAATTTCAATTTTTGTTTGTTTGATTTTAAACTTTTCAATTTCCTAGAATTTCCCTGAATTTTAATGATTTTATCTACAATCTGGTGATTTGGGTTATATCGATTACATAATTGTTTTCTTTGGTTGATTACAGTTTCAATTTTTTTGATTATTAAATTGCCATTAGCTTTTCTTGTTAAATAATAAAGGTTGGTTTTTGGGATCATTATACTGCAATCTATTTTATTTTAAAGATCATAATTTTAATTGTCTAATGTTAATTGTAATTACCTGATTTCAATTTTTGTTTTTGATTTTGAATTTTTTAATTTCCTAGAATTTCCCTGAATTTTAATGATTTTATCTATAATCTGGTGATTAGGGTTAATTCAATTACATAAATGCTTTCTTTGGTTGATTACATTTTCAATTTCTGATAGTTAAATTGCCATTAGCTTTTCTTGTTAAATCATAATGGTTGGTTTTTGGGATCATTTTGTGTTTCTGATTGAGTTGATATGCTTCTGAAGTTTTACTAAAATTTGCAATTTATATCTTTTTCATGTTTTCATGATGCATATCGTGATCCTGGATGAACATATAACTCAAAGATATATAGCATTACATTGGTACTAACAGTTGCTGTTTTTCTTGATTAGTTACTTTGTTGTTGTCTTTGAAGTTGCAGTTCTGACAATCAATGGCTTGTTGAGTATCATCAAACTATCAAAGCATGGATCATATAAGTAATTTGCCTGATGCAATTATTAGCTATATTCTATCTTTTCTCTCTACGAAGTCTGCTGTGAAGACATGTATTTTATCGAAAAGATGGCAGTATGTCTGGACTAAAGTCCCTGCACTCGACATTACTGAAATGCCGCATTCACGTAGATACCTGAGTGATGAGCAGCAAATTCATTTCAAGAATTTCGTGAATAAGGTTTTACTTCAAAATGATGTATCCTGTCTGCAATGTTTTACCCTCAGAACCTATTCTGAGTATGATTATGACTGTATTGAGTCATGGTTGAGAGCTGTAGAAGGGCGTGAGTTTTGTGAGCTCAATGTAAAGCTTCATTGCCCCAGGACTTTTTACTTGCCTAGACAGTTTCTTTCCGGTCAGAAACTTGTGGTTTTAAAACTAGAAGGGTTTATGATTAGTAATATGGGGCATTCTTTCCATCTTCCAAACCTTGAGATCATCCATTTAGTTTCCGTTCTGTTTGATGGCGATCTATTTCTAAAGAGTTTGGTGTTGGATTGTACTGCTCTTAAGGAGCTGCTTATTGATGGATGTTATGGTTTTGAGGAAACACTCTATGTGGAGTCTTCGACCTTAGAGTCTTTAGAAATAAAAGAATGCATGATTAAAGAATGCGCAATTGATCGCAGTAATTATGTGTTACCTTTTATACGCATACAAACCCCAAATCTTAGGTACCTCAGTCTCCAAGACGCGCTGGCTAATTATAACATCGGTGAACTAAAGTTGCTCACTGAGGCAAATCTTGATCTCTGGGATAGTGAAGGTTATGATGAAATTGAACATCTTGCACTTCAGCTTATTGAAAAGATTTCTGGAGTAAAATCTCTGTGATTAGGAAGAACTGATGTGAGTTTATCCTCTTGCCTCGTATAGTTTTACTTTTACTAATCTGTGAACTCTTTGACATTACCTATCAGCTGTACTTGTCAAAATTCCAACTGGAATTGCTCAATTCCTTGCAGGTTGTTTGTTGTTTTGAAGATGCTATACCAAACTTTGAAAACTTGATTGAGTTGAAGCTTGCCGCTGATTTTGTTATCCATGAGCTGTTAGAAAGTACTCCTAAGCTGAAATCTTTGATCATTGAGGAAGTAAGCACATAATTCTTGAATTTTCTTTTTAACTTTTTATTACTAGTCATGTCTCTGAATGTGATTTTTGTAAAATATTTTGTGTTAATTCATCAGGTAGATTGTGTTGGTGAGAGTTTTTATTCCAAAGTTGCGCCTGGTTGTATGTCATGTCTTGAAAATGTTGAAATTGTCTTGGATAAAAGACATCATATCAGATTGGCAGAGTATATATTGAAAGTTTCTACCGCCTTGAAGAAGATGACAATCTACTTGCATCCTACGACTATAAAGAGGGGGAGAGCTGTTTATCAAAGTTTATTGAATCTTCCAAGATCCTCACCAATCTGCCAAGTTAAAGTTGTCCATCTTGATTGATAGGTATTGTTGAGCTAAACTTTTCAAGAAGTTCACTATTAGAGCTTCAAGTTTTCGCGTAGTTTTCACCATATTTGATGATTGGACGGACTGTTAGAGCAGTAAATTTGAAATGCAGGCTGAGCATTGAAATCTATTGGAAACATGAAGACTTGTTAAGCACAGCCTACACAGGAGTAAAAGTATGTTCCATATGCATATTGGATGATATTGCATCTTATATATTCTGTGAAAAAAACAATTGAAGTAATCTTTCCCATTTTTTTTCTTTACTTTTGAACTTTGTTTGATTTGTATCAAATTCATTACTCTGAACTTCTGAAACTAGTTTATTGTTTATCTTATCATTGCCATTCTTCTGATGCAAATTATGTGTTGTGGCTAAAACTTTAATTTCGTCTATAATTTTATCTCTACTTGTATGTCTTTTGCCTTCTCATAATTTGTATTACGTATTCGTTTTCCTTGGAATAAATCAATTTCCTCTTCTAAATTTGGATACTAGTGTAATTTACTTTGGTGTATTTGGGGCTTGAAAGGATCACAATGGTAATGGAATGAACACAATAATACTCTAGAAGGGGGGGTTGAATAGAGTATGGGCAATTTTTGCAAAACAAATATGTCAAGGTCTTAAGATTAGTTTCAGGGCGGAATAAACTAATCTCAGTTTTAAATTCAAAGCTTTGAAAACAGTTTATAAAATAAAATTGATTTACTTATCAGAGTCCAGGCTTGAGGCTTTGACACTTAGACAGAATGTAATTTACGAATTAAGCAAAAATAAATGCGAGTAAAGTAAAAAAAAAAAAAAAAAAACATGAGACAAGAGACAGAGATATTTTTACGAAGTTCGGCAAATGTGCCTACGTCTCCGCCTAGGGTTATCCAACCCGTAGGATTTTAAACTTCCTTTATTTCTTCCCTTAGAGTCCTAAAGCACCTAGAAGATGACCTCTCTTCTCTCCGTAACCGCCCGGCTACACTTTAGCAACTCAATTCCCAGAAATAAAAGATTACCTAAAATACTTTGAGTATTATAGAATTACTCTAAGTATATCTCTCTTTTGATATATTCTTTTTTCACTCTTAGTTACACTTTTCTTTTCTCTCAATCTAATCACACAATAAGGTATTAAAGAACTTAGAGAGAAAATATTTAACACTCTTGCTATAGTGTATAAAGCTTGATAATTCTTGAGTGTTCTTGTTCTACGTTGTTGTTCTTGTCGTTGTTATTTCTTCAGCACACTTAAACATTATTTATAGAGTTGTATGGTTGAAATTGAACGTTTGAAACTTCAACCGAATTCCTTCAAATTAGCTCCTTCAAACTTGCGGCTTTCAAAATTCGAACGTTGATTTCATCTTGCTGTTTTGAATATCTTTCAACGTTATATTTCAGCAACAATATCCAACTCTTCAAGGAATTTAAATTTTGCTGAAAATAAAAGTTGTTAGGATAAAAACAAATTTATTTATTCAAAAGATATATCATTATCATCCCATATTTCAAGGAGCCTGCGAAACAAATTTGTTAAAGATATTTATCTTTAACAAACTTAATCATAGCATATGGATAAAAATATTCAAAACAAAAGATAAATTTGTGAGAGATAAAATAATCAGAAAAATTATCACAATATATTTATGCAAAATAGTATAAACATCCAATCTAACAAATTTATCATGCGTATTGGGCTTTAAAACAAATATCTATATTGGAAAATTTGCATAGTCCAATCTGTAACATATTAAGTTAAGTGGGTTTGACTTCCATCATTATAAAGTTAGAATAAATAAAAAGGCTCATCAAGGTGGAGTCTTCAATCTCCCCGTTGATGGAAGTCAAAACCATCATTAAAACATAGCCAATATATTAAACCTGCACACAAAGATTAATATCCAAACATTCATCACATAATATAAAGCATTAAACTTCTCCCCCTTTTTGACATCCAACAAGGGAGGAAAAATGGTTGGAACAAACAATAAAACAAAATTAAAGTTATTTAATATACGGCAGTTTTATTTCAAGGCTTTGACATGCAGGTCAAGGTCTTGAAATAAGTTGCAGCATTACAATCAGCACAAATTAAAGCATTAAAGCACATACCTTAGCTCCCCCTACGAAGGTGCATCTTTATTTAATATTCTCAATTCAAGTCAAATACGAATGAATATACCTTCGCTTAAAGACTTAAAAATATCAGCAAGTTGATGATAAAAATATCAAACCTTTACTTTTGAATCTATCTTTACTCTTGAAGAATTCCTACAAAACAAAAGAACATTAAACCTTTCTAGACCACCAATAAAAATAACCAATATAATTAAACCTGCATACAAAGATTAATATCCAAACATCCATCATATATATAAAGCATTAAACTTCTCCCCCTTTTTTGACATCCAACAAGGAGAAAAAATGGTTGGAACAAACAGTAAAACAAAATTAAAGTTATTTAATATACGACAGTTTTATTTCAAGGCTTTGCCATATAGGTCAAGGTCTTGAAATAAGTTGCAGCTTTACAACCAGCACAGATTAAAGCATTAAAGCACGTACCTTAGCCCCCCCTACAAAAATGCATCTTTATTTAATATTCTCAATTCAAGCCGAATAAGAATGAATATATCTTCGCTTACAGACTTTAAAAAAAATCAGCAAGTTGATAATAAAAACATCAAACCTTTACTTTTGAATCTATCTTTACTCTTGAAGAATTCCTACAAAACAAAAGAACATTAAACCTTTCTAGACCAACTTGCAAATTTGGAGTCATAGTCAGGATGGACCATGTTTGGTGGTCTAGTTCCTTTAACAACCCATATTTGCTTGATTTGGTCTCGAAAATAAAAAGGAAAAGAATTCTTAACAATATAATGGTCATTTCTTCTAAAAGGACATGTTAACTTAGTATGACCCTTCTTGCAACAGTAAAAACATTTAGGGGTTCGCCAATTATCCTTAGCTTTTACAAAAGTGGTCGGGTTTTTCTTAGGAAAATTTTTGTTGTATCCAAGACCACTCTTATTTAAGGATGATTGGTGTACACCCAACATCTTATCAAGTGTTGCTTTTGACTGGGTAAATCTAACCAAGACATTATGCTGCTCTATGCATTTCCCAGTAAGAGTTTTCTTTTCTTTCTCTAGTTTATTATTATAATAACTTAGAGAAGTAAGCTTACGCTTTAAAGCAGTGTTTTCAGTTTTCAAGGACTTGACTTCTGTGTCAAAAGCTGACTCTGAGGTCTTAACCTTGTTTTCAAAAGTGGACTGGGCTGCTTTGAGATCAGCTAATTCCTTAGCCAAATTGTCAGATATGCTCACTTGTTTGCTCAGCTTTTCTTTAAGAATCTTCGATTCTTGAATTAAGCTTTCTTCATTCACAAGCATGTTACGTAAAAAATCAAAAAGAACATTAGTAGGCCTGGCAATTAAATTGTTTACGATTACCTGGAGGTGCTCATCTTTTGCATCATTGTGACCCGCCATAAGACATAGATTAGCTTGTTCATCATCGGAATCACTTGAATCTGAGTCACTCGATGAGGCAACCATAGATTTCTTCTTATAATCTCTTTTGCCTAACTGTCTTTTTCTTCTTTTAAGGAAATCCTTTACAAGGTGATCATCATCTCCATATTCGTAGCACTTCAAGGTATTGACTTTGTTGAATGATTTGCTCTTGTATTTCTCTGTCCGATTGTTGTTCTTGCTTCTAGGAAACTTTTTCTTCATTTTGAGGATCTTTGCAAGACTTCTAGCAATAAGATCAAAAGGATCTTCATCATCTCCATCATTATCAGATTCTTCATCATTAGTAGAGATATCTTCCTTTTTGGCTTTGCGAGCTAGCCCTTTAGTAGATGAGGTAGGCTCTCCATCTTCTTCATTCAGAGACATCTCATGGGTAATTAATTTCCCAAGAAGATCGTCTAGAGATAGAGTTCTCAAATTTTGAGCCTCTTCAATTGCGGTCACCTTTGGTCCCCATTTTGATTTTGGAAGACATCGGAGAATTTTTCTGACTTTTTCTTTGTTTGAGAATGACTTCCCAAGAGAATCAAGGTTATTTATAATCTGAGTAAACCTTGTGAACATCTCTTTGATAGACTCATTTGACAGCATTTTGAAGAGTTCATATTGTCGAAGGAAAATGTTGATTTTGGTCTCCTTCACTTGGCTTGTTCCTTCATATGTGACCACGAGCTTATCCCATATCTCCTTGGCGCTTTTGCATGTAGACACACGGTTGAATTCATTCGCATCTAATCCACAATACAGCAAGTTCATAGCACGATAATTTTTTGCCACATTTTCAAGATCCGTCTGGTTGAACTCATCATCATCTTTGGGAACGGCTGCTCCACTTTCTGTCGTCTTCATGGGAACTTTAGGACCTTTCTTTATAATCTCCCAGAGCTCAAGATCTTGATCAATCACGAACATTTGCATTAGCGATCTCCAATGAGCAAAGTTGTTGCCACAAAAGAGAGGAGGACGATTTGCGGATCGGCCTTGAGCGAAACCTCCATCACCAACGGAATTCATCTTCACAGATTGTTAAATCCTTATGTGAGAACCTGCTCTGATACCAAATGAAAGGATTACAATGGTAATGGAATGAACACAATAATACTCTAGAAGGGGGGGGTTGAATAGAGTATGGGAAATTTTCGCAAAACAAATATGTCAAGGTCTTAAGATTAGTTTCAGGGCAGAATAAACTAATCTCAGTTTTAAAATCAAAGCTTTGAAAACAGTTTATAAAATAAAATTGATTTACTTATCAGAGTCAAGGCTTTGAAACTTAGACAGAATGTAATTTACGAATTAAGCAAAAATAAATACGAGTAAAGTTAAAAAAAAAAAAAAAAAAAGACAAGAGACAGAGATATTTTTAGGAAGTTCGGCAAATGTGCCTACGTCTCCGCCTAGGGTTATCCAACCCGTAGGATTTTAAACTTCCTTTATTTCTTCCCTTAGAGTCCTAAAGCACCTAGAAGATGACCTCTCTTCTCTCCGTAACCGCCCGGCTACACTTTAGCAACTCAATTCCCAGAAATAAAAGACTACCTAAAATACTTTGAGTATTATAGAATTACTCTAAGTATATCTCTCTTCTGATATATTCTTTTTCCACTCTTAGATACACTTTTCTTTTCTCTCAATCTAATCACACAATAAGGTATTAAAGAAATTAGAGTGAATATTTAACACTCTTGCTATAGTGTATAAAACTTGATAATTCTTGAGTGTTCTTGTTCTACATTGTTGTTTCTTCAGCACACTTGAACAATATTTATAGAGATGTATGGCTGATTTTGAATGTTTGAAACTTCAACCGAATTCCTTCAAAACAACTCCTTCAAATTAGCAGCTTTCAAAATTCAAACGTTGGATTCATCTTGCTGTTTTGTTTCAACTTTCATCTTTGAATAAAACATCAGCCTTATCCTGTGCAACAATAAAGCTAACAATATCCTTGAAACTAGGTTAGGTAGCACAAGATATAATTATTCAAAAATAATCTGAAAAATTAAATAGTAGTTATAAAGAGATAAAATATGAATGAGAAATATATTTATCTTTAACAAACTTAATCATAGCAAATGGATAAAAATATAAGTGAAGTCAGAAACTTATCTTTATAAAGACTTCCAACAAGATATGAAGAGATAAAATAAACCATCATATATGAGCAAATTACGTTGGACTCCATATACATATGGACTCTTTTGACTTCCATCACACAAACATAAATGTAAAGCATATAAACTCATTATAATCTAATTAGCAGATCAAGGTGGAGTCATCAGGGCTAATAGTCCTGAGAAAAATGCTACCGAGTATTGAGTAACAGTTATAATTATTTTTGTAGGCTGAGATGAATACATCAACATATAAAATACGAGTACTATTTAAAAACAAAGTTAAACATTATCATAATCCTTCGTTAACTAGGATATACAGTATAAACTTGTTCCCCAAGTCTAATATTTTGCAAATGCATAGAAGTAATAATTATATTTCATAGGATAGGTAAATCAAAATACGAAGTAGAAAATAAACAAATATGTGTAATACTAAAACTAAGCTAGCTTAGCATTGCTAGGATTCCACATGAATTAGGATATAGGATAGGTCCCGTTTACAAAAAAAAAAAAAAAAAAAAAATGTAAACTTGTCCCCCAAGTTCAATCTCTAATATTCTACTTTCTTTTTTTAACAAAAACTTAAGTGGATTTTTAAACGAAATCTATAGCAATTTATTAAGCACCAATGGCTTCCAAATCAGACATATAAGAGCAACTCTAATGGCAAGCCTAATTGTCAAATTAGCTTGTCATGTCAGATAAGCATTTAAGCTAATTGTCATTTCACTACACGAAAATAGCAAATTGGCAACGGTTCAAATCCCCCTTAAGGCAACGGTTTTGAACCGTTGCGTATTTGAGGGTTGTCAAATCCCAAAATAATTGGCAACGGTTCAAAACCGTTGCCAACTCAAGCAATTGGCAACGGTTAACTGTTGCCAAAGACCATGGACCCTTTTCTTTCTTTTTTTTTTTTTTAAATAATTGGCAACGGTTCCAATTGCTTAACCGTTGCCAAATACAATGGCGCGCTTTTTTATTTTTTTTAATATTGGCAACGGTTAACCGTTGCCATTGACCTGTATTCTTTTTTTACTTTTTTTTTTGCTGCACTAATATTGACCTTTTTTTTTTTTTTTTTTTTTGGCTGCAATATTATTAGTATTATAATATTAATATTATTAATAATAATAATTATTATTATTATAATATTAATATTAATAATAATAATAATAATTATTATAATAGTAATAATAATAATAATTATTATTATGTTAATAGTAACAATAATTAGTATTATTAATAACAATACATAAATAATTAATAATAACAATCGCAAGAGATGATATAAATTAGAAAAATGTTTCATGTATAGTACATAATTAGTAAGCTAAGGCTAGGATTGATGAAGTAGCTAGCTAGTAAACGATATTTACAAATTAAATGTGATGTAGGTCGCCAACATCTCCCGAATTACATGGAGTTCCTCGCTCGTGTATGGCTGTCCCGTTTGCCCCTTGCAAAACTTAGAATACACAAAACGTGAGTTTGTAGAAGTGAAGTAATAATAATTGGGGTTAGTTAAATGTGACTAATGCTTGAGATTACAAGAAAAGAGCAAGTAAGAGGTTTTGGGACGCAATTTCAACCAAAATGGCTCAAGTAAGGCCATTTTGGCTACTATGATGCCTATTTTCTACAATTCATGTCTATTGAACTCATAAATAGTTAAAACATGTCATTATCACTTAGTTATAGGTGAATAATGCTTGAGATTACAAGAAAAGAGCAAGTAAGAGGTTTTGGGACGCAATTTCAACCAAAATGGCTCAAGTAAGGCCATTTTGGCTACTAGGATGCCTATTTTCGATAATTCTTGTCTATTGAACTCATAACTAGTTAAAAAATGTCATTATCACTTAGTTAAATGTGACTAATGCTTGAGATTACAAGAAAAGAGCAAGTAAGAGGTTTTGGGACGCAATTTCAACCAAAATGGCTCAAGTAAGGCCATTTTGGCTACTAGGATGCCTATTTTCGATATTTCTTGTCTATTGAACTCATAACTTGCTAAAACATGTCATTATCACTTAGTTAAATGTGACTAATTCTTGATATTACAAGAAAAGAGCAAGTAAGAGGTTTTGGGACGCAATTTCAACCAAAATGGCTCAAGTAAGGCTATTTTGGCTACTAGGATGCCTATTTTCGATAAAACTTGTCTATTGAACTCATAACTAGTTAAAACATGTCATTATCACTTAGTTATAGGTGACTAATGCTTGAGATTACAAGAAAAGAGCAAGTAAGAGGTTTTGGGACGCAACTTCAACCAAAATGGCTCAAGTAAGGCCATTTTGGCTACTAGGATGCCTATTTTCGATAAAACTTGTCTATTGAACTCATAACTAGTTAAAACATGTCATTATCACTTAGTTATAGGTGACTAATGCTTGAGATTACAAGAAAAGAGCAAGTAAGAGGTTTTGGGACGCAATTTCAACCAAAATGGCTCAAGTAAGGCCATTTTGGCTACTATGATGCCTATTTTCTACAATTCATGTCTATTGAACTCATAACTAGTTAAAACATGTCATTATCACTTAGGTAAATGTGACTAATTCTTGAGATTACAAGAAAAGAGAAAGTAAGAGGTTATGGGACGCAATTTCAACCAAAATGGCTCAAGTAAGGCCATTTTGGCTACTAGGATGCCTATTTTCGATAAAACTTGTCTATTGAACTCATAAATAGTTAAAACATGTCATTATCACTTAGTTATAGGTGAATAATTCTTGAGATTACAAGAAAAGAGCAAGTTAGAGGTTTTGGGATGCAATTTCAACCAAAATGGCATACCTCTTCAAGCTGACGTGTGTCTGTACAATGACTCATCACTATGTCATACATGAATCTCATCACGTATAGGCCACAGTCAACTTCGTTTTCCTGTTGTGCACACTAGCATGAGGAACAAAGCACATGAATCAAAATGCATAGCAAATAAGCAACATCTTAAGCATTGTAAAGTAAGAAAATCACAACATCATGGGTGAATTACCTTGGGTGCTTTCCATGTAGGACCTCGAGGAGATCGAGGATTTATCTTCTTCATGGTACTACAAAAAATCAAAGTAATAAGTTCAAATTTGACTAGTATAATCAATACATATGAGTTCAGATATGAAAATGAATAACAAGAAGTGAAACAAACTAGATGCTTACTTTTGCAGTATGGACCTCACGAGGCGCTTTCTTACTTGAGGTAACCGAGCAGAATCAAAGTAGAAGATTGTGTTACTGGAAACACAAATCACAAGTAGGGTCCAATGATAACTACACACGAGACAAACAAATCAATAGTTAGCCTGTTACAACAAATAAACTGGGAAAACAAATGAACTTGACTAGCATAATCAGACGTACTCCTCATGGTATGGGACGAATATAAACTTGTCTCCCGCACTCACTGATTGCCGGATACCCCGTTCAGCATAGTACAACACGTCAGCGGAGTTGCCTAAGATTCTAGCAGTGGACATCTGCTCAGGGCACAACCACCCAACTTGACAAGGAGATTCAAGCTCCCATATTTGCTCTTGGAGTGCTCTGCATGCATGATAACACAATGTTAATCGAAAACCAAACGACAAACACCACTAAACTGAATAACATAAATTGAGTACCAGTTGAATTACCTCATGGATATTTGAATGAGGGAAATGTTAAGCATTGCACCACTTAGAAATTCCTTGACATCTTCTTTGAATAGCCATGCCGTTGCATCATCATCGTAGTGGAACATTTCCTTAGGAAGTTGAATTTGGATGGGGCTGTCATTAGGCAACACGCAAACACGGTTGTGCAAATAAGCTAACTCCTGAGATAGCGATTGAAGCACCGTGTCTTCAACTAATGGAGTAGCTTGCGTAGCTGAACCTCGTGAAGGGCTCT